TCACCTGCATGTGCATTGAGCGCTACATGGCCGTGGTTAGACCCATACTGTACCTGAGAGGGAGGAGGTGGGAGTACCGAATGGTTGCTTCTGCTATGGTGTGGCTGCTCACCTTGTCCTTCTGTGTGTTTACAGGTAAGTGCTGGATGAAAGTTCACAGGTGACTGTTGAGGGGGGAGTGGCTATATTTCTACCTGCATGCAGACAAGATGGCAGAGCCCCGCAAGAGGCACCTGAAGCCTGAAATGTTTAATCACATGACCTCTGCTGCAGAATTTTGTCTGTATAATTGTTGCACCAACATCTGTATTGTGCCCGTGTGTTGTCTACCGACTTGGTAACTGGCTGGGCCTCCCTTGGCAGCAACAACTGCAGTGAAATGTTTGCGATCAGTCTTTTGCGTCTCCATGGATGAATTCTGGCCCACTCTTCTCTGCAGAGGAGTTTTAATTCGGCCACATTAGATGGTTTTTGATCACAAACTGCCATTTTAAGGTCTCACCACAGCATCTTGGATTTAAGTCAGACTTTGACTCTGCCACTCCAAAACCTTAATTTTGTTCTTTTTGAGCCACTCAGAGGTGGACTTGCTTGTGTGCTTCTGGTCATTGTCATGCTGCATAAAGCAACTGTGCTTGAGTTATAGGTCATAAACTGATGGGCGAGTATTCTTCAGGAGGATTTTCTGACCCAGAGCAGAATTCATGGCACTAACAAGTATGACAAGTCATGAAGCAAAGCAGCCCCAAACCACATTGGTATTGTGTTCGTCTTGTGGAATGCGGTGTTAGCTTTAGGCCCAGTGTAGCAGGACCCATGCTATCCAAAAAGCACTTGCCCCCTCCAGATACCTTCTATTTTTATTAAAGTTTCATCCATCCATCCATTATCTATACACCGCTTAATCCTCACTAGGGTCGCAGGATTAAAGTTTCAGATCAACCAGTTTTAATGTAAAACAAAGACAACCCAAGAAAACACAAAATACACGTTTTAAATCATGATTTCAATTACTGAAGGTACAATGCTGTCCAGACCCACCTTGCTCTGTGAGTAATTGCCCCTCAACTGACAATCTACCAAATTCGTTTGTGTTCAGTTTCACCAGCCATACCTACATATTACAGACAGGCTTGTTTAAATTCAGCACTTAAAATAGAACCTGTCTGGCAGTGTGAAGTAGGTTAAAAATTCTCAAAAAGCAGCACATGATGCCACGGTCTAAAGAGATTCAAGAACAGATGCAAAACACTTGCCTCCGTTAATGTCCATGCAGATGATTCCACAATACAACACAGGGCAAAAATGGCATCGATGGGAGAGCTGCAAAGCGCAAACCATCATATCTGGATGAGCCTCAAGACTTTTGGGATAACATCCTGTTGACTGAGTCAGAGGTTGAACTTTTAGGAAGACGTTGGTCCCGTTACATCTGGTGTAAAGCTAATGCTGCATTCAACAGCATACCAACAGTGAAGCATGGTGCTGGTAGTGTGATGGTTTGAGGCTGCTCTGCTTCCACAGGACCTGGACGACTTGTCATTTGGTGGATCCATGTGTTCTGCTCTCAAAATCCTCCTGGAGAACATCCGACCATCAGTCAATGACCTAAAGCTCGAGCAAAAATGGGTTATTCAGCATGACAATGACCCAAAACACACAAGTTCACCTCTGAATGTCTCCAAAAGAATAAAATTAAGGTTTTGGAGTGGCCGAGTCAAATTCTGGACTTGAATCCAACTGAGATGCTGTGGCAAGACCTTACAAGGGTAGTCCATTCTCAAACCATTTAATGTGGCCAAGTTAAAAGTATTCTACAAGTGGGCCAATATTCTCCCATGGTGACATAAAAGACTGATCACAGGCTAATGTTTAACCACCGTGTTTGCCAACAAGGGAGGCCCAACCAGTTGTTAGGTTTAGGGGGCAATTACTTATTCACTGGGGTGATATAGGTTTTCAAGAAATCTTTAATATATGTTTTTTTTTTTTTAATGGATTTTGAGAGATGCTACTGAGGTCGTGTGATTTACTTTCAGTAGCAAAGGTCTCTTCAGTGGAGATCCACCATCATGTCTGCATCCAGATGTTCTTCTTAACCAGTGAAAGAGTCACAAATATAAGGACACATACACCATCAGAAAAACGTTCTTCCATTAAATAACAATGAATAAAAATCCAATGTTAAAATATTCATTCCATCTTCTTCAAACTAGGCCTCATTCCTACATCAACTGTGGCCTTCAGAAATATTTGGACCATAAGTGTCAAATATTTCCTCAGTAGTACCTCCTATTTTGAGGATAACATGTTTTAAAATTGTCAAATGTTGCACATTGCTTTCATCTAAATTTTCAGATTTTCTGCTTTTCTTTACAGCTTCAGTGGAGGATAGAACTATTGTTATGGTGGCTGGTTCCGTCGTCATCTCCTGCCTCTTCGTCATAATGCTCGGCTGCCTCGGCGGTGTGGTCCACTCACTGTTGAAGCAAAGCCCCGCCCACAGCACACCTGGAAATCAAGCCCACTCTGAGTCACCCTTAAAGAGACAGGCAGTGGGTAATGTGTTGGCTGTGGTGGTCTTTGCTGTGGTGGTTTATCTCCCAGTCCTGATGATGATTCCCCTGGTCGTCTCGGTGTTCTATTTACATAACAGGTTGGGGGAGGCCTTGTGTGATGTGTTTCAGTTATCTCTGTTATTCCCCAGGTTCGGTGTGCTCATTGGTCCTCTATTCTATCTTGCCAAGGCAAGACAAATGTGCCGCCTTGGTAGGACAGAAAATAAATGTAGTAAATAAAGACATAATGCTATCAGAATCATAATATTTGCAACACCACCAGTAATCAATGAGTGTGCAACATATTGTTTTGTCTTTTTTGTAAAAATGAGCTGAGTGATATAGTACAGCATCATCAGCGTATTGTCAGATTTTACTCTTTATGACATAAATCTTTTCTGTTGTTGTTATAGATATGAATTACTAAAAATACTATAATATTTGCAAATCCACCATTTCTGAGCTCAAGGGCACAACAGAGCAATGTGGAACAGCCTGTGCTAGAATATTATGTTTGTAGAATCAGTGTGTTCTTTTGAAAATTTGCCTTACAGCTTTTACATGCTTTGATCTTGTTGCTGTCCTTTTATGTAAGCTTGTTGTATCGTATAATCAGCCACAACATGAACACTACATGTCTAATTTTGTGTAGGTCCCACAGGAGCTGCCAAAACAGCATTGACTTCAGGGGTTGTCCTGTGGTGTTTGGCACTGGGACGTTGACAGTGGATCCTTTGGGTGTTGTGGGTTGTGGGTTGTGGGTTGGGGTCTCCGTGTTTTCCTGAGCAACGTTTAAGAGAGCAGAATAAGACTGCATTTCAACAAGGTGATTGGTGTCATTGCCTTTTCTTATAGATGGTTTTAATGTTGTGGCAAATTAGTGTAAATCATAAATCATTATTTGTCAGATTTGTTTAAGAATGTGACCCACATATGAGACCAGTATGGATGTACTGCCATGTGCCTTTTTAAAGTGATTATAATAATGATCAGTTTTTGCTCTGTGTTCAAATCATGTTTCATTCTGTAAAGATGAATGTGTCACATTATTTACATTTGATGCTGTTACTTTTGTTTTCACATTGCAATAATGCAAATGGATGGAACCACCCCACCGCCACCTATTTAAAATCTTGAATTTGGCATTTCGCCTTTGCCATTTTTGTCCAATCAACAGACAAGTAGGTTTATTTTCTCATAAACTTCTGTACAATCTGACTTGTTTTTTGTAACCAGAGGTGTCGCCCCCTGCTAGCTGTTAGAAAGAATGCAGGATTAGGTCACTTCTGCATTGACTTTTCTTTTCAGATCCAGATAAACAGTCTGTGATTGCAATTACACAAGTGGACTAAAGAGCTTTACATGATACACCAGAGCGTCATCAAGAGAGTTGCATCTCCCAACACTTGAAATTGATTGGTTTGTAGACTAGACGTTATCCAGGTAATCATAATAAGGAAATTAGTCCTCATATTGGTTGATGTATTGCTTTTTTTTCATGGCATTACACATCCTTGACTACTGCTGCTGCAGTTTCTTTACCTTTGGAATGAAAGGTGGAACGTCTTCAAGAACATGAAAGGAGAAGCTCCAATAGTGACCTTGACCTGGATGACTGAGAATCTACACAGACATATTACCTTTAGGTTGCATTGCTCCTGTCTTGAATAGAATAGAACAGAACAGAATAGAATAGAATAGAATAGAATAGAATAGAATAGAATACTTTTTTATTGATCCCCTAAGTATTCTATTCTATTCTATTCTATTCTATTCTATTCTATTCTATTCTATTCTATTCTATTCTATTCTATTCTGTAATATCCTTCCTATTCTTCTTTCCCTATAAATAAATCACTTTATTTAAAAGTGTTTGTGTATTCAAATTCCTACTTGAAATTTTGCTTGGATTGAAGTAGGATTAGGTTTACCTTGAACACCTCATATTCTGCTTTTAGTGGGATTTCCTTTTGTTGTGTGATATAAACTGTATTTTTTTGTACATGTCAAAGGTCTGAAAAACACACAAAGTTCACACTGAAGGAGTGATTCTCTCCCTTAGAACACTGCCTCTCTCACAACATCTTCAGGTTTTAGAGAACCATTCATGTTAAAGCAGAACAGCCTTCTCTAAAACAGGATCAACAACACTCATTATCTGGTACTTACAATGCAGTCTTGAGGTCTCTCTCCAGAAACTTTTACTACCATTAACACCTTTACTCACCCATCACCTGACAGTTTCACAAGCATTCACACCTCGAGGCATGTGAGTCTGGGTTGTTAATGGGCCATTAGCCCTGTGAGTATACATGTGGGACTCCCCATCAGTCAGTTTGAACTGGAGAAGCCTCTTGGATGAGAGATGAAATGTCTTTAAAAAAGAGAAATCAGTAACTTAGACAACACAATACCTTCTACAATAAAAAGAAGAACTTTAGCCAATTTCTGAAAAAAACTATATTACTGTCAAAGACTTCAGCCGCCATTCCTTGTTACAGCAGATACATCAACATCAACAGTTATCACATACAAATATCTGACATGTTGTCTTTTGATAGCAGGTCATGTTAAATATGCATTAGTGTCAGATGGCACAGATGACAATCGCAAATAATGTCAGCTTTGCTTTTAAAGCCAAGAAGAGTGCATATCCATTAACTTACAATGGAACTTTGTCAGAAACAACACGGGTTCAAGGCAATGCAATCACATTATACTTTCAAGATTTGAGGAACCAGTGATATAACCAGAGCGTACATGTGCTGTACTGAAGATCGTCACTCAGTTTAACTAAAAATCCACCTTCACATACTCTGACACGGTTAATATCAGCCTGCTGTACAGTTCAACCTGTCATGTGGCTGCATTGCATTCTGACGTTTTAAAATGAGGATCTCTCTGAACTGCGTCTCCACTGATAAGATCCAGAAGAGATGCTTTTTTTTGTTTTTTTTAAATAATGTCTGAGATGCTTCAAGATGAAGTTTTCTTTCAGAGTAGGCTGTTGTGGTAAGTGGACATTCAGAGACAGAGACTACAACACAATTGTCTCCCTGGTAACACAAATACTATAGCTAAGTTCTGTGCAGCTATAGGCTGTTGAAACACTATTTTTGGGCGACAGGAAGGCAATATAAGACATAACACAACAGTAATAAAATGCTGACTTGTCCCTAGTTAACACTGAAAAACATTCTCCCCTTAATGGTGGACCTTCCATTTTATCCCAGGAGTTCAGTGTCCAGTCTGGAACTGTCTGGAGTACAGCAAGCATCTGATATGTGACCACATAGTATTGGCATACCAGGGATCAATCCTTTAGTGCACATTCAACAATAAACAGACCCTATACAAATTATATTCTAAAAAAATCCATGATAAACCCCCCACCCCATGTAATTTGTGTGTAAGCTTTTACTGAAGATGTGCTATTTATTAGCGAGCTGTCATCACATTTTCTGCTCATGGAGATGGAACTTTCAATTGTAAATATGTGATCATCAGGTGTGACAACCTATGGAACTGTGGTTTCCAGATTCAAAATATCTGATCCATATGCAAAAGTTTTCTTGTGAAAGTTGCTGCAAGTGGTTAAGCTTTTTATGATTTAGTGTCAGCTTCTTTCTATGTAATAGAAAGTTGGTGGTCCAACAGAACCAGTTCATCTTCGTGTAACAAGCCCGATGACGTGTGCTATTTATCCAGGGACCATTACTGTAAACAGGATATTCAAGTATTTATTTTATCAAAAACAGTCCTAAAATAAAGTGTTCTTCTTGTTTGCTAGATTTTAAAATTTGAAAATATGTCGTGGTGGTGTCAGATAAAGATTTATAAGCTTTTAGAATCTTTAATAATCTCTTCTAACTTTGCACCAAAGTGCATGAAAAGTGTTCAGTCAGCTCAGTACAAGCTCTGCATGATGGCTGCAGTGCACTGAGAAAGTCTGACGTGTTTTTTTTTATCTTTTAATAACTTCTAATCACAGTTGATTAGAATCAGCTTTGCTTCTTTTAAATAATACAGTACATACGATTTATAGGGGTCGGACTCTTTGGCAAGCTATTTGGTGGTTCTTGGTTTCACAAATCAGAATTAAGTCTTGATTGAAACACACTGTCAGCTTTAAGTATGCCTCAAGAAGTGGAGAACAGCCGCTCTGCTGTGACGATAGTACCTGGGAGCGCCAATGTTAGTCTTTACAGGTGCAGGGTTTTTGAAATCAAACAGGCCATTTAGTCCAAGTGCAAGGCCAAAGCCAAGTGCAGTCTGTGTTAGAGGTCATCCCTGCACTCCATTGACATTACTCTGTGTGTGATGGGCCATCGAGCATTCGCGAAATACCTCAACTTGCAAAGCTAATTGTTGGGTCATTAAAGTTGTGGTAGGTAGTCATTTTTCCTAATAACCTTTCAATATGTTGTAATTCAAGTGGTTTGAGAGGAAACTAGACTTCTGCACCTCCTCCTTGGCTCTGCTGTCAGGCTTTAGACAATCTATCCAAATTCTTTTCAGAGAGAGTGGTGTCCTAATTACTGCTCTGCACAATCCTTTAGAAAACGTTGTCATTCCAGCATCGAGAGTGCAGGGCAACCCAAGAAAAGGAAGATGGACTATTTTAAAAAAGAGACAATAAAAGCAGTAAAATACATTGAACTGGAGTTCTGTCCAACAAATACTACATTCTTCATGTTCCAGAAATATCTAAATGTAGTGGTTAGTTAGGGTCGAGCTTGTGCTGCTAGAGCGTATGAAGCACATATATCTGCCTGTGCTGCAGGGGAAGGGTTGTATTTTCAGAAGTCGGTAGGGTTTTTTTTATTTGTTTGAATTTATGCCGACCTCAGCTTTAAATCCAAAATCTGCCCAACTGCTTGTCTTTTTATAGATAAACTACAAAACACTTCCTGTATATCTACCCTCTGGTTGCATTGTGTCCTCCAGGCTGAGTTTGGCCACTTGTTGTGTTATTATATTGTTAGAATAATGTCATTTTAATGCATTTTTGGCATTTGCAAATGAACTGAGAATTTTCGCTAAGAATAAGAAGAAGCAGTAAAACCCGCCATTCCTATGTGACTCAGATTTTTCGCCCTATTCTGAGTGGTTTGTGTGTAAAAGTCCAATATGGAATGTAACATGGACCAGTAGTGTTGGTGGGAAGCTGGAGGCATCACCGTATTTGCATATTTATCTGCAATTCTCAATCAAGGGGATAAAGGGCAGGCGTTCTTTTTAGCATTCTTCAGTACTTACTGGACACAATTTTTGACAAAACATACCCATCGAAGTTTTTTCTTTTTTTTTTTTTTTTACCTAAAATGTGTCTGGTGGGGAACAAAAAAAAAAATAAAAAAAAAAAAAAAAAGAACAATCAGACCGTGTTACAAAAAACATGTCGGTCATTACGGTGTACCGAAGGTTACGCAAATGTCAAAGGTTTGAGGAGTTTCTCTAGCAGCACTGCACATGGCAGGAGTCCAACTCTCCTCTAGACGTTGGTCACTGAGGGTAGCAGAGCAAACAGATCGCCCTGCTGTGGAAAGTCTTGGTCTAAGCCCCCTTGAGGATGCTGAGGAAGACTCTGAATCACCACAAGCTCCAGGGGCACTTTAACCTCCCTTTCCTTCAAGCAAGACCCAAGGGACCAACAAAGTAATCACAGTCACAATATTTTCAATAAACCTAAACTTCTATCCTCAAGTATGACATGTTGCTGCCTTTGGTACGAGTCCAGTGGGTTCAGTTGTGCAAGGCCAGGTCAGTCATCAGCCAGATCAAAATCAACTGAAAGGCCAAGTTCTTGGCAAAGGGCAAGAAACGGCACAAGAGCATGTGAGAGAGGCTAAAAGTCTGAGCTCCCTCTAGAAAGGCCAGTGTAACTCCTCAAAGTCCCCCGATTGACCCATGTTCACGTCCGTCTCCAACAAACTCATGATGACCGCCAAGGCTGCCTCGTCGCTGCTGAAGCTGCTCAGGCCTGGAACCACGATGTTGTCCAAGTCCAGCTGGGATGGCTCACCTGGGTGAAACAGCAACACAAAAAACAGATTTCAGGAAAAAATCCCCACTTTGAAGCTGTTCTATTACTTGGTGATGTTTTTTCAGAGATGATCTGAGGACCTCAGCTCAACTCCATCTGAAGTTTAAGACATTTGTAGCTAATGTTAGCATTTTAGCATTAGCCGGGTGTTAAATAAACACCACCTGAATGCTAATAAATGTTAGCCAGCTGCTGCTAGCTTGTTGTGTAGCATGTTATTGTGTTTGCTACCAAAGTTACGGTACTTCTCTTAAGCAGAAAGTTTCATTTAATTTTTGCTCTTTTGTACAATATTTGAAGGCAGTACTAGCTTCACAATTCACTGAATAAAACACAGACACTGAAAAAGCGCACGATGCTAGTCCTGACCTAACATTAAGTCCTGACTGGCATTAGCTGTCTTTGCAATAGGCTGATATCACCTGTACTTTAACTAACATGACCCGCGTTGTATTTACTTAATTTAAGTTTTTAAGTATTCAACAGGATATATTACATTAGAGTGGATTTCAAACGTTTATATAGTCTTGGACTAAATGCGAGCTTCTAAGCAAGCATTACAAAAAAAAAACAATATTGCCATTTTTTTTACTTGGCAAAAACCATTATATTAATGCTAAGTCTTGAGCAAAGAACAGCTGGTGAGATAAAGGGAAACAACTGAGTGAACAGAAGAGATGCGTCTTTAATCAGGTGATGAAACCATTCCTATGTTTCTAAAGGTCCTGTGTTTCCAGGGTTCTATGGTCCCAGGGTCTTGTGGTTTCATGGTCCTGTGTTCCTGGGGTTCTACTTTCCCTGGGGTTCTAAGTTCTCCCAGTCTACATATGTTCATTTCCAGCGTCCCATGTTCCCTCGCTTTGTATAGCACATAAAGAGAACCTGATAAGCACCTTCCCCAGCCCTGGAATCCATTAATATGAGTCAAATGGCTTTTCTGTTCCTCAGCACTGCTCTATGGTTGTCAATATATTAGGGTACACTTTAAGGATAGGTTTAGGAAACATGGAACCTTGGAAACATAGATACACTCCTATTTTGGGTCAAATCCAGACTAAATTCTTGTTTTAAAAACTAAAATGGTAAAAAGTTCTTTAAAAATACACTCAGTTGGTCATCTATTGATTGGATTCTACTGCATGTACTGGAAGTCTTCTGCTACGGGGAATAATATTCTGATTTCTGGAATTATACTCAGAATTTACTGCTTTTTAATTGTAGTTTATAACATATTTATTCATCTCCATTTTACATAGTCAGTATTTTACAGTT